AAAAAAATTTCTCACTGAACAACTAGGTTACTTTTAAAGAACGACTGTTAAATGGAAATTGTACATATACTTTGCAAAATTTATGGTGATTTATGCTAGTGACCGCAACAGGTAGGTGTAAAGCAACAGTCATTCGTACAGTTAATGACCTGGATAATTCAAGTCCGGTGCAAAAACGCATGATCGCGCGGGCCCGCCCGGTGCTTTCCAGCCTGGATTCTTTTTGTGTGAGTTTGTCCGGATTTTTCATCTCAAAACCTATAAAAGCCGTAAGGCTGAAACTTTGGGAACTTAATCTACATGCATGTATGGGCCCCAATCCTCAGAATGGGCGCCATTATCCGCGTGGTATCCGCGTACGGACCCGTCAAAGTCTTTTACGGGTAAGTTCATAACTCAGGATTCTGAGAAGCTAGAAAGCTGAAATCTTAAACGGATGTTCCCCGCTCAAGTGGGTGTCAATGAGCTCAAATCCAGCCCCGGGATAGGCGTGGTACCTACGTACGGGGGCGCCTAAAAGTTTCGGGTAAGAAGCTAACTCGAGTAAGTGAGAAGCTAGAAGGCTGGAATTTTGAGGGGATGTTTCCTAACAGTCCTGGCGGCCAGTATGAAATTCTTTTAGCTAGAAGCATTTGCTGGAAAAACCAGTGCCATTAGCGACAAAATTTTGCGGGGAACTATGCAAAAAATGCATCTTCGCACGAGCAGTCCGTGCGTTGGCCAATTATTTTACAGTTACGAATTCGCATGTGGACAATCAACTGAAAATTTACGTGCGCTTAACTCGAAATTTAGGGGTGCTGCAAAGCTGATTTAAAGACTTTAGGTCGAACATGGCTAGCCGATACTTTCATCAAATTTCAGCGTAGTTGCTTTGCAGGTGGCGTAAAGTGCTTCTTCATTATAAATTAGTTGTCGTTCTGTAGATATGATACGGGCACACCGAAAGGTAATATTATGCCTATGAGCAAGCAATAGCCAGTAAATTTCTCTGAGGAATTTTGTGCAGCCTAGTTCTTGAGGAAGTACTGAGTGAGCCTTAAATTTGGCGTGCTAGCAGTCATATAGTCGAATATGTATTCGCTGGGTTGAAATTTTTAAATAACACAACTGTTGCTCATCAGAGTAACTCTATCCATGTTGGTAAGTACCATAACTTTCAGATTTCGTGCAAGACGCAAATAGTATTTGCTGTCAAGTAGAGGCAATTCATCTTCTTGTTTCATTGGCAACCGAAAGCATGCAAAGGTCAGTTTTTGTCTTCTTCACAATCAAGAAACGTGTAATGTCGTTTATTACAAAATTTAGAATACAGCAGCAAGCTAGCTTCCAACAAACACTATTCCATTTCACCATAGCCCATCTAGTAACAGTAGTTACATTACTTATGTTCAGATCCACATCCAACTGCATTTCAACTGAATAACCCTTTGCCAACTTTGTATAGCATACGTAGGCCTGCAGCAACCGCTTCAATCCCCTCTTGAACCTGGGAACCACCCTTAATTTTCTGGTAACCTTCGTCAATCAATTCCAAACCATCGTACACCTTCTTTATTTTCTTATACTTCTGATATTTGTCGATAGCATCCGTCGCGAACTCGATTGTATCCAAAAAAGCTGAAATTAAAAGCAACTTTTGACAAAAATGTTACTTTAGGCTTTGCCTCTTTTAAGAAACCTGATTTTTATTTGAAGTCACGCTATAACCATTGCACAGTTCGTTCTACTCCCTGCTTTTCATGAGCGCTTGGTGAATTTTCTTTTTAAATTGTTAGTGACTAACACGTTTAGGTATTAATATTATACAGGGAACATTCCTTTAAGATTTCCGCACTCCAGCTCTCTTGGTTTCAAAGTTATTTTTTCCGCCAAAACTTTCACGTGCTCAGTCAGGGCCCAAATGTACGCTAAGGCTGGTATTGTGATCCTGAGGTGGCAGTTGGCCAAGGAAACATTGACAAAGTTGCAGCACCGAAAATTGTTTGGTTGCCTAGTTGAAATACCCAGATAGATGCACACAAAAATACAAACATTTACACGCGCACACACGCACACCATTTGCATATATGCAAAAACGCATGAAAATGTTCTCTGGTAATTAATCTACCACTTGTGACTTTTTGCACTGAACTCATTGTTACTGTTTTTGCTGCAGTTTGAGATGTCGTCCCCACTTCCGCACAGCCTTATTTGTACGTGGGGTTCAGCTGAAAAGGGGCTATCGAATAACTGCATAACAAATCATTGGCGACGCGCGCTGAACGAGTTCGTGCGATTGTGCGTTTTTGCAGTGTTTCGTGCTGTAATGAGATCGCTCCGAAACCGTAGCGAGAAATGAGTGACATACTGGTCCTCGAATTTCAGTAATTTAGTTGCCCACACTGTACTTGGATAGGGAACATTCCCTTAAGATCTCAGATCCTAGCTTTCCCAGTTCCATATTCCCGCCAAGAAATTTCACGCGGCCGTACTTGAGAACCATGCATGCTCGGGAGCTGAATTTAGTAACTTTAAGTCGTACATGTGCTGGGAACATTCCCTGAAAATTTCAGCCTCCCAGTTTTCCTGGTTCCCGAGTTAACCATTTTCCCGCCAAAAATTTTCACGGGGCGGTAAGTGGGGACCACGCATGCCTGGGGGCTGAATTTGATAAATTTTAGTTGAGTATGAACTGGGAACATTCCATTAAAATTTCAGCTTTCTAGCTTCTCTGGAACCCAAGCTAGCGATTTTCCCGCCAGGAAACTTCACGGGGCCGTACTTGGGAACGACACATGTCTGGAGATTGAGTTTGAAATATTTGTGTTCCATGTGGACGGGGAACATAATTACAAAGTTTCAGCCTTCTAGCTTTTCTGGCTACCGACTTAGCGATTTTTCCGTCAAAACTTTACCCTCTCGCAGGTGCGACCCAGACTTGCGTGGGATTTGATCCCGCGGTCTTGGGATGGCACATAGCCGGGGAATTTTTGGGCAAAATTTTGGTGCCGATGGTTGCTTGGGTGCCGAGTTGAAATACCCGGGCAGACGCACACACACACGCACACACAAACGCACACACACACACATCGGTCGTCACAATATGCGTTTTCGCATTTGCATATTTGCAAAAACGTATAACAAGCTTTTTCCTATCCAAATAGACTTACTGTAATATGTTTCGCCTTTGTTTTCCAATGATGCTCTAATACACTTTTTTTGCATCTACGCAATGCTAAAACGTATATTGTCGAGGGATTGTCAGTACGTGTCTGTGTAGCTGTGCATGTGTGTGCCTGTGTGTGTATGTGTGCGTGTGTGTGTGTGTG